AAAAATATTTTTTCAACAGAGTAATTGAATTTACTAGAGTTCCTTCAGTGTGCCCTAAAATGTCACAGTTCATTATAGTACTGTGCAATATGAAGACAGTTACTGCCTTTTATGTTATAGAGAAACCTTTCTAAAAAGCCTGCCTTTATCAGTCTCCATTCGAGAAGGTTTTCAAAACTCAACTGGCTGCTTAGAGCAGTCTGGTCTGACCTCATAGGTGACCTTCTTTGAGTAGGAGCCTGGACTGGAGAGCTTCTGAGCTTCCCCACAACAAGAAATTATCCTATGATCAGGTTAAATAACATTCAAAAACAAGAAATTTTTTTTTAGAAGTTATACATACCCCAGGACTACATGGTAAGGAAGCTATGCATAACCCTAAAAAGAACACCCGAAGACTAGGATTTGAGTATAAATTAAAATTATTAAACACCACAAAAATTATTAACTCAAAACTTTTCCTTAAAGCCAACTTAACAGTTCAGCATGATCCACAAAGTAAGTTTACTGCAACATAACTGAAATAGCTTGTAGAAACAAGTAGTTTTCATGCACAAAGTGAAAAATCTACTAAACAGATTTCTGCATACAACTTTTAATGAAAAGTCAGTGAAGGAACATGAGCTAGCAGCAAGATTCTTGTTTTTTTCTTTGTTGTACAGCATTGGATTTACATGCGGCAGTATTAAATGGTAAGTTATCTAGACAGCAACACAGCTAAGATATAAACATCATTTGAAATAAGTCCATTTTCACTAAGGCAATGTGTCAAAATTCCCTATTAAAAACTTGTTTGAATACAAAAATAGGAATTTTAATGAACAAGCAACAAACACACACACACCTATATATAGTCTAGTCAAAACATCATGTAATAGAAATTCCAATTTTATGTATTACAAGAAAAAATGAAGTAACAGATTCAAGTCACAGTTGACAGAAAATTGAAGACTTTCAAGATTTGTCCCAGAAGAATCCTCTTACGCTTTGTTTCTGAAAGTGCGTTTTATCAGCTTCATGAGGTGCAAAAAATGGAATAAAGCTCATTATAAACAAATGTATTCTCTTCAAAGGTGAAAGAGCAAGTTCATCAAACAGTTTCCAAAATGCCCCAAGCAGCAGTTGCAGTGTCTGCCAAATACATTATTCATTTTTAATATTCAAATTATATTCTGGGGCTGAATAAGCATAGTGTTGTATTTTTGGGGCTCACTCAGATGTCCAGGAATTGCATACTATGCACCACCAGGATTCAAACTTCTCTTTAAAAGCTCGTCACATCAGAAGTAGTTAAAATTTTTTAGCAGCTTTTTTATCTCCAAACTCAGTTTCAATTAGGGAAAAAAATAAAACCCACAAAGAATGTGGAAAATATATTTAAACACGGAAGATGTCTGAAGAAACCCAAATTTACTTAAAAATGAAAATACATTACTTTTTTAGTCTTAAGTGTTTTAAGTATTAGATTTTATTACCTAAATTCTGTTAGAAAAATGGCTTCCTGGACTAGCTATTGTTCAGAAAAGGACTGATCAGTGACTTAGTCAAGATTTTTAAAAATTTTAATGCCAGGCTTAGGATGCAATTTATTTTCATTTGTTCTGGCAACATTTACTCATTTAAGCAGTGCTCAGACTACCATATATTATAGGATGTGGGAGTTCCCAAGTAATATTACTTCATAATTCAACATTAACCATTATAGGTAGTTTTAAAAAAGTTGAGATATTTAATAACAATATTTAACTTCTCTGTGAGGCTCATAAATAATAGCTTTATCTTTCAAGCAGTTGACTGGAGTTACACTGCTTGTGAACAGCATTAGGACTTTCCAGCTGAGGATAAATTGAAACAACTAGACTTCTGCTCTATCAAGGGATATGAATACGACTCTACACATATACTGGAGAATGCTCATTTCAATACTTACAGTTACTTACTGAAATAATAAGATATATGAGTTCTAGTAACAAAACTCTGGTAACTTAAATAATGCTGGTTTTCAGCTTTTGGGTATAAGTGGTCAGAAAATACCTATAAATGTGCGTGTAGTCTGCACTTACACTGCTGAAATAGCAGGCCTCAACTACTCACACTAAGACACAAAGAGCACACAGAGAAGCACTTACAGAAGAGGACATATCCGGCCAGCGACAACGTGTTGTAACAAATTGAACATTTTTCAGGAGTGCAGATTAAAAATGACAAATAGTAAGATGTAGCCTAAAGCATGACCTTCACACCTCTGATTTCTGACCTTGTTAACTCCTGTCAGACCCTTCCAGTTCATACAAAGACATGAACATCCCTTACCTACATCACTGTTTTGACAGCAGCCCCTTTCAAACCTTTACCCTGTACTCTGCTGCAGTGACACCCTGCACTTGGCTGAGCTTGTTGACCCTCTCGACTGCAACACAGTTTTCACCTCACCAGACAACCTCACCGGGCAGTGCCACAGCACCCCATCCTGCCCATGAAGCTCCAACACTTGCCCTGTGGCTGCCCCGGCTTCTGCTGTGCAGCCCCACATGTGCCTTCCCTGTGCTCCAGCCTACATGGAGGACCACTCCTTTTGGTTCTCCTCAGGGCAAGTATGTACTGTCACTGCCAGAGCAGAATATTGCTTTCCTATTTATGGAAGAAATGAACTTGTTATGGGAGTGTTATTTCAGTGGAGCGCAGCCAGCCTCAGTGACTCCCATCTTTCCTACAGCTAAACTCACTAGACAGAAGACCACAATGCCTTTCCTTTTGAAAAGCACCCAGTGGTTGATCAACAGCTCCTGAAGGAAAGGTAAAAATGTAAAAAGCATTGCCATGCACAACACTCACATGCCCTTCCAGTGCTACTCTTCTCACCTGGAAGCACTGGCTAAACTTTACCCTTGCCGAAACGCAGGGTGCAGGAGGAACACACTCAGTCATCGGCAGGAATTACCAGGGTGTAGAAGGGCAACTCCTCTCCATCACATATGGAGTACCATCAACAGACAGCATCACAGGAAGGGCATGGAACAAGAAGGATCTCTTTCTGTACCCTTGACATATGAAAAGCCAGATGATCAGTGTGTAAGGTTTTCAATTTAATTTTTTCCTTGATTGTTTTAAATCAGGGAAAGCAGAGAGCACCCTGATTTACCCCTAGCACAAGTAGCTAGGTATGTCTTCCTAGTTGCTGATTTAGTATTATGAA